CCTTACGAGAGCAGATTAGAGGGGAAGAATCGCCTCATTCGACCTGCTGCTAATACTCCTCTTGATGCAGCCCAGAACACAACTGGCTTTCTGGGCTGCAAGCGCACACTGCCGAGTCATGTTCAGCTTCTCATCAACCAACACCCCCAAGTCCTTCTCCCCAAGGCTGCTCTCAATCCATTCTCACAGTGAAGCCATGTTGGTTGTCACCAATCACCTCCTTATTTTCCATGTGCCTTAACATAGTCTCCAGGAGATCTGCTCCATGATCTTGACAGGTACAGAGGTGAGACTGACCGGTCTGTAGTTCCCCAGATCTTCCTTGTTTCCCTTTTTAAAAATGGGGGTTATGTTTCCCCTTTTCCAGTTAGCAGGAACTTCACCAGACTGACAAGCCTTCCCAAATGTGATGGATAGTGGCTTAGCAACTTCATCCACAAGTTCCCTCAGGACCTGCAGACGCATCTCATCAGGTCCCATGGACTTGTGCACCTTCAGGTTCCTTAGATGGTCTTGAACTTGATCTCCTCCTACAGTGGGACGTTCCTCATTCTCCCACTCCCTGCCTTTGCTTTCTGCAACTTGGGCGGTATGGCTTGAGCACTTGCCAGTAAAGACTGAGGCAAAAACGTAACTGAGTACCTCATCCTTCTCCATATCCTGGGTAACCAGGTCTCCTGTGTCCTTCTGGAGAGGGCCCACCTTTTCCCTAGTCTTCCTTCTATCACTGGTGTACCTACAGAAGTTCTTCTTGTTGCCCTTCGTGTCCCTGGCCAGATTTAATTCTATCAGGGCTTTAGCTTTCCTAACCTGATCCCTGGCTGCTCGGACGTGTTCCTCCCAGGGTACCTGTCCTTGCTTCCACTGTATGTAGGCTTCCTTTTTGTGTTTGAATTTGTTCAGGAGCAACTTTTTAATCCATGAGGGCCTCCTGGCATTTTTCCCTGACTTGCTATTTGCTGGCATGTGAAGGTAGTTTCAAAACAATGGAAAGAAACACCTAATGGAAGGAAGCCTGAGATTTTATTTTAATTGATCACATACCACATTTAATACCCAGCTGGAGCAGATCAGCAGAGCAAGCAACAGTACAACGGCAGCTCTGCTGTGCTCGGGGCTTCTATTCAGTTCCAGCAAGTCTGATCCAGATAATGAACAGCAAAAATTGGCAATAACACAATGCTGCACAAACTCTGCATTAAAAACACAACAAAGTAATTGATACCTGCACTCCAGGTGCTCCAATTCCCTTACTGGTCATGAAAGATTCAGCAATGAATATGTAATCACTTAAGCCTTTGCAAGGGCACACTGTTACTACACACAACTTGATCTTTGGCATTCATTTAACAGGTAAGAAATAAGATGCATGTAAAGGAAACTTGCTACTTAGCAGTAGCAAGGGTGAGTAACCTTACGAGCTAATCAATTCAGCACTCAGCAGCAGGTCTTATTACCACCAGCCATTTGAGAAGTCATGACCATGCTTACCTGCAGTTGGTTTTCTGTTAGAACTAGTTCAGTAAGGCTTTCGCAGTCTCCAATTGAATCTGTTAGTTGAATAAGTTTGTTCTGATCAACCTTCAAAATGGAGAGCCTCCTCAGTTTTCCTGTACAGAAAGAACAAAACATTTGTTTAACTTAGTATCCCCTGATACCTGCTTTAATTACAGAAAATCCTTCTGCTGCAAAACTTTTAGAAATCCTCTAACAGAATTTTTTTTTCATGTAAAAGCATGCTTCGCTTGGCGCTTGCACTATTTTTGCAAGTTTATGACGTCACTGAATTCATATTCAATATAAATATTCATACTCAATATTTAAGCATATTAAATTGTATTAAAGTTACAATTTGAATGGTATCCCATGTAAATCTCAAGGACATGTCTACCCAAAGGCCTATAAACAGAAGAAAATTAGCTATTTTTTCCTCAATTATACAATGTTTATTCACACAGGAGTGTTCAAAAGATCACCTATGCCTACTCAGCCACAGTAAGAAAGGCGTGCACTGAAGTGAAAGCCCAAATCCAAACAGGATCAAAGTCTCTTTGTCCTCAGACAGAACCCAGTTAGTCAGACATGAAACCCATTTATTTTTCAGAATAGAAACCAAACTTATTTGAAGGTCTTCTCTGCAGGAAGGACAAAATGCTAATCTCAGAGCAGAAAACTCACCTTGTTCTGCTCCTTTGTACCAGAATGGTCTTTGGTGCAAAGCAGAGCTGATCCAGGCAGAGCCCAAGACAAAGAATTCAGGAGACATCACTAGCTGCTGACACCTCCCTGCCCATCCCCACATGGTCCAGAATAGCTGTAGTGGACTGGCACACCAAACTTACTGATGATGTTAAATCATGAAGAGACGGCTGATATACAGAAATATAGCAACCTGAACAGAAACTCGAGGTTCAGCAAGGAGAAGTGCAGAGCTCTGCACCTGGGCAGAATAAACCCGTGCACCAACACAGGCTGGGAAGTGACGGGCTGTAAAAGAGCCCTGCTGGCAAGGACCCAGGGAATATGGTGGGCACTGGGCTGAATATGAATCAGCAGGGAGCTCTAAAGTAAACACTGGCTGGACCACATTAGGACAATTACAGACAGCAGATCAATGGAAGCGATTATATTCCACCTACTTGGCACCACTGAGGCCACATCTGTAAAATCATGCTTGGTTTCATGTCCTGTCCTGTGTTCCCCCCCTGACTCCACAGTTCAAGTGAGATTCTGACGGGTGTCAATTACAAAGCTATCAAGATGACCAGGGCACATGAGCTGAGGCTGAGGGAGATGGCTTTGCTGACTCCACCAAAGAAACAGCCAAGGAGGCATCTAGAACAGCTCAAAAACTATTTGAAGGGAGGTTACAGAGATGACAGAGCCAAACTCTTGCAGTGCCAGGTGAGACAGCAATGGCTGCAGATTGAAGCGTGGGAGGTCCCAGCTGGACATCTGGAGGAGCTTCCTCACTGGGAGGAGGTGCTGTGGCACTGACACAGGCTGCCCATGGATGCTGGAGCCACCTCCATTAGGGACTTTAGAGACTTGGGGAGGCATGACCACAGATGACCTGACCCATTGATGTTGGTGAGAGCCCTGCTTCGAGAGCTCTACAGATCCACCAGTCCAACCAAGGATTTGGTGATCAGCTGAGGTCCTCCCAGTAGCTTCCACAGAGACCAGCAAGGTCCCCTTCAACCACAATACAAGATTTTCTCCATTTCGCAGAGTAAGTTCCAATATTACACAAAAGGAATAAGTACTGTACCCCTAATAAATTTTCCAAACATAAGTAAGCTATTATACTCACAAAAGTAGCATTTTTTTTTGCCTTTGTAACAAAACAACATCCAGAAAATGTTACAAAATGCACACCCAAACTAGGCTTGGCCTGAAATGCCCTGGCCCTTTGCAATCGCTTTCCCCAGCAAAGGTTCTCCATTTAACAGGATTCTTGAGAAGCAGCAGATCCTCTTGTCCACCAGCTGGTGCTACAGACAAGCTCCCCTCTTGCAGGCTGCATGGGCCTTTCAGAAGGTACAGCTTCATTTCTGATGTACAACTGTACTGGCCAGCTCAGGTCATCAGAAGGCTGCTGTAACTCTCTACCAAACACACACCAGCCAACTGTAAGACCTGCAGTAGTCACCCCACTCCCCCAAGTTTAACTTCTAGAAAAACATTTCTCTTTTCTTAGACCCATATAGCATATGGAGGGAGAGGGAAGGTCTGTCCTTTCTTTTCCACATTCTCAGTTAAACCACATTCACAAGTCCTTCTTCCCCTACACCTTTATTTCTGTAAAAAAACAAAACTAAACAAAACAAAAACCCAAAAACAACACCCCACAAAAAAACCTGGCAAGGAGAAAGCAGCTCTTGCAATGTGAAACTCTCCAGAAAAACAGCCGATGAGTAGTAGAGAAACAATGCCTCGCTGACCACTTCTCACAAGTACTTCAGGGGTTAAAACATTTACCTTAAAAAAGGCACATGCTTCAGAAAACATTCCTCAGTTATTAAACCTGTTTTTAGGGGTCACACAGTAAGGCTGTAGTTTGGCTCCTCAAGGCTGAAGCTGGACCAGCCTTCCACTGGTTTCAGTATGGGATTATTCACACTGTCCAACTGAAGATAATTACACATCCGCACTAAAAAGTATGTCTTTTTTGTGGTGATACTGTCAGTCAGCCTTATCAAGTGACCTGCAGCATGTTACAAGCTAGAATTTTACAGTTTTGACAGTGATGTGGACACAGTAGGAACAGAGAGGATATATTAATTTTTTTTTGTCCGGGTAGGTATCAAGTGAAGACCAAAAAAGGATTACAAGGTAGTCACTACGCAGATAATTAAAATGCCAAATTAATAGAGCTATTTATTTCATACTAAGCAAGAAAAAAAAGAGCTGAGACAAGCTTAGCTCTTGCACAAAATTACTTCAAAAGACTTGAAAACAAATGACTTCCAATTTATGGTGGATTAAATGGTTCTGTGTGATAGCATTCACTTTGTACTTACCAATGCCATCAGGTAAGACCTGAAGTAAATTCTGAGAAACAAGCAAGTCTGTTAGAGAAGTCAGACCACTAATTTCTTCAGGAAGGCATTCCAATTTATTTTCAGAAACATCCAGACAAAGCAGGTTTTTCAGGTTTCCTACTTCCTGCCATACAAGACAAAAAAATTAAGTCATGCCCAAACACGTAACAAAGCAATTTGAAAAATGTACCATCACAATGAAATCCCAGAAAGAAAAACAATTCTCTGTATGACCTCTAAATTGGCCATTCTTTGTGTGACCTCTAAATGCAGAAAAAAGTAAATAATTACATTTTACATATGATAAACCAACCAAGTGATTCAGTCACAGTTTCTTATTCTAACTATTAAGACTGGCTTCAGTAGTCAGACCAGGCATGCAGAGCACACCCAGGCAAGTACTAGCCAAAACCGGAATTCTCCTCAAGTAAAGACTGCCAAGTTGTTTTTTCAGAACTACAGATTATCAACCTCCACGTAATTAAAGTCTGCCCCTCCCAATTAACCCTAGGAAAATTAGGACTAGTCTCTCCTGCTGATACTGCAACATGCCGTGACATCTAGGGATTTCGTATCTTCACATCTCCCAACTGCAACAAATGTAGAAACAGGAACTGGGAGCGTTTCTCTAGCAAGCGTATTTGAACTGGCAAGTTATACTGCCATCATCTACAATTATTAATGATTACTTAATTTTTTACAATGGTAATCTGCCAATTAGTTTAGAAGTCTGACAGAGAAATACCTTTATCCCTACTAGCCATCAGAGCACCCTCCCATTCCCCGTGTACACAGACACCCCTATACACACTCTGGAATAGTTCTCATTTTAGTCATACAAATCATCCTTCAGAGAACAGGCTGGGGCAGAAGTGTCCTTTACTTTTACATACATTAAATTTTCGTACAGCCTTGATCCTAACTCATAAGCCCAGTCCCTTTATTTTGGAAATGTCTGCCTCTTAAGACGATCTTTGCTTAAAAACACACACCTTCCCTTATCCTACAAATTAATCTTTTGGACATTAGACAAAGTACACAAAAATGGCCAGGTTCAATAAAAACGGCTGCTGAAGTCACACTTTTCCTTTGATGAATGATCATCAGTGTTTAACTACATCTACTTAAAAATTTATTAGGCCAAGCCAACAACAACAAAGCTGGATAAACCGTAACTGATTTCAGTAACACTGTTGGCAATGAGATCAATACAGCAAATAATAGCATGCACAGCAAACAGTAAAACAGGTTTTGACTTGGCTGTAAAGGAAAAAGAGGGAAAAGAAACGATCGCACACATATCACAGTTCTTAAGAAAGAGAATTTAGAGTGCTGTAAGCTTTAAATGCTAAGGCCTCTCATCCCATGACTGATATCAGATGGGGAATCTGCCTACATAAATCAAAATTTCTATTTATGGCGACATTTCTGTTACTGTAGTTCTCCCAAACACTGTATTTGAATGGAAGAAGATAGCTGGGGGAAAAAAAAAAAATCATCCTCAAAACTGTCAAAACTCCAGTTTAGATACATACAAAAGGTGAGGGTTAGTTCAGCCAACTAGTGGCTCCCTGATCATTGCAAACACAGGATGTGTCATCCTACAAATCGAATAATGTCCCTGTTACGGAACAATTCCTTTGTCAAAATGTTTCAAAGAAAATGTCTGACAACACATGTATATTGTATATGTCCCTTGCAGAGGAACTTATTAAGAGGAAACCCTTACACATCCAAAACCAAACCCAGGCAAAGTGAACCGAGGAGACTATCTGATTCCTCCCTTTAGGTATGAATGAAAAGGTTTTATTCTAAAAGCATATTCAAAACAGTATCAGTAGAGCTCATCTTTACCTGAGGTATTTCAGCTAATTGGTTTCCATCCAACCAGAGGTCTTTAAGATTGAAAAGTGCACCAATTGTTTCTGGCTATAACATAAAAATTAATAATGTTTAGTAGCATAGGAGCTTCAAGTAAAAAATAAATGGCCACCCTGTAACTACAGTCTGAGTAAACCAATCCTTACTCCAAGCACTATTTAGAGGTACCACAGTTAAATGCAGCAAGGGTGACTGTAAGCGTTTGCAAACTCCATCATACAAATTAATTGCTGTAGCTTAACAAGCTACCATACTCTACCTGACATGCACTAACAAATTGTATGCATACTCTTCACCCACTGCAAATCCAACATTTAATTGCGTAGGCCTAAAAGAGGTAACATATCTTTTGGTAGGTCACCACAATGTCACACACTGCAACACTCAACAGTTTGCCTCAGCCCTTTCCCAAAGAAATTTCCCACCCTGGAAATAGGTGAGCCTTCATCTGTGCTCAGCCCATCCAGCTCCCTACAGAAACCCGTGAGTTCATTGCAACTCCAAGTGCAGACAAGAGTTTGTGCCCTTCCACTTTTTCTTTCTGTAGAAAAAGTCCGCACAGTGCTCTCATTTTCTCAAGATCGGCTGCACTTTTTTGGGTAAAGTAATACTGTACTGAACAAGACTACACAGATACAGACACTGACTCACTGCCACAATTCCTCTGTACGTATAAAAAGACTCTCTCTCCAAACATTTTTCTTTCTTTCTTCAATTTTGGACATCCTATAACTACTGAATCTAAATGATGCATAAAACAAGATCAACAAGCACTCTCTCTTACCAAGTGATAAAGTTCATTGTTTCCTAAATCAAGTTCTTCTAGTCGCTGCAGCTGGGCAAGTGATCTGTGAGATGAGATGAGATAAGTCAAAACAAAACCACATCAGACTAAACCAACAGAAACCCCATGTATTAGAATGAGCTCATTTTACTGAAATTTGTATTTCAAATTACAATGTATTGTAGACAGACAGTTATTTTACTGGGCATAGACTAGCTGCAGTAATATCTTACTGAAAAAATAATTTGGTTTGTCAGTATATCTATATGCCCTTGAAACTTAAAATTTAATATAGGCAATCAAATCATTATTCTTTATTTTAACCATCAGTCGCTCAGGGTGGACAATGCCACATAGTTTAGTATAGTTGGTTAGATTTATTTTTAGGGGGAATTTACAGTTACGCAACAGGATAAAAATTCCCCACAGTGATCACATGTAACAGTGTGACTCAAGACTCAATAAATCCATCACTTATCTTGTCAACCTGATCTATCTATTTCTGAAGTACTTCAGGTTGGATTTAACGATGCAAACAGAGGGAAGCCCAAAAGAGGTTCTCTGAACATGAGCAGACACAGAGGGCCATCCTTCTACTTCAAAAGTAGTCTGTTGTAGAGCTCTTGCTTACCTTCCCCAAAGCCTCAGTAGAACAAAAGCCAGCAAGACTTGTCAGCTATGTTACTGACAGTCAGAATTTTCCAAAATTGTCAACATTTGTGATAGCTTCATTCTGATACCACATGACAAAACCTAGCTAGCAATTCATATCTTCTGACCACTGATGTTTAAAGTGCCCTGTGGCTCACAGCTATAAACAGCCACAACCAAGGTACTGGGTAGATTGACAGGAAAAAAGGACCCCAAAGCAACTGGGGAAAAGAATCTGATTAAAATAGGTTGCATCTATTACAGTATCTATTAGATTATCTAAACAAGCAGAATAGGAGTCACCAAAACTCTTGCAAGAAGCAGCCAGGTAGTGAAGGAAGGAAATTCCTTCACTAGAGAAAGAAGAGGCTTCTTCCAGGCAGCCAAAAAGGATCCCCAAAAAGTAAGATGCCCGATTAGTGTCACAAAGGACCATAAATTCCTCTGTCACAATACAGACAGCACAGAGATATCTAGCAGCCTTTTTTTCCCCAAAATCACAGCAGGTAGAGTCAGACTTCAGACATCAGTACACCTAGTTTGTCACCAAGGCTTTGATCTCCAGGTTTTGAAAGTTTTTTGTTACTTCGCCCTGAACACAAACGCTTATTTAAATGCTACAAAGGTCTGGAGTTGAAATCTCTGAGATCCTATTACCCTACTTTCACAGTTATGAAATTTCATCACGACAACAACCCAAACCACTGCTCCCCCTGCTGATGTGCTCATTCAATATGTGCAGGAAAAACGTTGGGTGCTGCCGTGTTTTATACAGAACACGTACACAGAGCAGAACCAATCGGCACAGACTGCAGGCTCCTGCTACCAGCAAAGTACACCAGAAGTAATGGATGTAACCAGGTGCTGCTAAAACAAAGTTGTACCTCATAAATATTGCCAGTCAGCACTGAATATGTTTTCTAGCTGTCATTCAGTTTCAGATGTTAGCAGATTTTAAGAATAAGAATGTTTTATGTTAACATAATCAAACAGATGAAATGTCACTTACTCAGGTAAATATGTCAGCAAATTTTCTCTAAGTTCCAGTGAAGCCAGGTTATAAAGACTAAAAAAAAGAACAAAATACTTTTTAATGCAATCTCATCTTTTATATTCCACACTTTCAGAGAAGAAAAGTGTGTGTTTACACAGAGTTGCTGTCAGCTGATGTTTTTGTTGTTTTAATTCAATCAGATCATCATGTGAAAGGCAGCATAGAGACTGGAAGTTTTTGCTTGTTTCTCTGTGATATTTCAATACACTAAAGCCAGAAAATAAACACACAAAACACAAATTTCCATTTGTTAAAAGGTCAGTAGTTGAGAGCATATTCATGTGAATCCCATCTACTTACTTGCTTTCAGAATCTGGCCTGGGTTACCAAAGTTACAGAGCATCAGGTGAACCCATCACTGTTCTAACCATGGGATGCTCATTACTGTAAGTGACATTATGCTTCTAAGCGGCTCACATACTCCATATCCCAGGCTTTTACTAACATCACCATAGCAACAGTCAGATTTTTCAGGGGTTTATTTATGACTAAATGGAACACAAGGAGTCAGACATTATCCCAACACTATAATCTGCTCTAATCCTCCAGCATCCCAGGGAAAAATAAAAATCAGACATGGTGACTGCAAATAAGTAGTTCCCTACAACAGAATATGTTTTTTTCCTGGTGTCCAGGGGAAAGGGATAGTGTGCTGTGCCTTAAATAACATCTAGATTAAAATAGGAATGCCACTAAATTTGAAACACTTGTTAAATCTAAATCCAAAATAGTTTTGTTTGTATACCTTAGAGGGGAAAAAAGCCTCACAAAAAAAAAAAAAAAAAAAAAAAAAAAAAAAACAAAAAGCAACCGCACATAGTCAGACCACATAAAACTGAAATATTTGTTTTCACTTCAAACAATACCAACATACTGAACTACTGTATCATGAGCTAGCCCCAGTAAAAAATGAGCTGATAACCTGAAAAATAATAAAGAAAAATCTTCATATTGCAACTCCAATACAGCTATCCAAGCAAGGAAAGCAACATAACTGATGGAATGAGTTATTAAAGGAAAGAAGATTTTTCACAGATCGACTTTGGATGGCATCTGAAAAAATACATCCTTAATTCAGGCACTGATCTCGTACTGCATTCAGAAAACTGTGAATGAAGTCTCACAGGAGCTTTGATTACAGTCTGAACAGTCCTCCCCACTTTTAAAAATAAACTTTACTCGATGGGTTCTGTATACCTTAAGAAGAAATGCAGTTAAAACATACCAGATAGAGAACATATTTTAGTAGAAGCCTATTACAAATTCAATTAAAAGTGAGAATAACTCATCTACTGCCACTCAAAATCATCTGACAGAAACTAGCCATCACTCCAATGACACAAGTAAAAACTCTCATATAAAAATTTTAACACTATAAAACACAAGTCAAAATTGGACATGGCATCCAACATCCTCCCATGAACCAAACCAATGGAAGGGGAGAGGTGATGGAGAACAGTGTCTCTCCAAGAGGAACGTGGGTCTGCTCTTACTCACACTGCCACCCACAGACTGCCATTACATTTTTGTTTACAGGTTTTCCAGAAATCTCTTCCAACCTTCCTTCAAATTTCAAACTTTCTCTTGAGGTCCATATTAGGTGAGGCCCACGAGTCAATTTTATCAAGAGAATACAAAAAGGATGCGCACACCGCCAAGCTGCCTTGTTATCTTATGTTTACAGACCACCCCACATCTACTTATCTCCCTCCCCATCAAGCTGAAGTGTCGATGAGTAAAATGGTGCAACCTCTTCATTTCTCTTCTTACATCAGACACCACTTTGGCTGTGGTTAAACAGAAATCTTCGTTAGCAAAACCACATTCAACAGCAAGAACTAGGGAAGCACCATCTTAACCAGACTCATCATACCATTAAGCTGGGGCAGGCCAGTCAATCAGCTCAGGAAATTGATCCTGCTTAAAAATAACCCAGCAAAAAACACAGATCCCTAATCCAACACAGAGTAAGACCCTTTAAACACCTGGGCCAGTAGAACTGCCAGAAGGGTGTAAGGAGGCATCTGGACTGCCCAAGCCAGCACTAGGTAGCTCTGTCCTTGTGGATACCCACCAACAGCTGTGGTTGCATCCAAACGTGTACCCTGCATTTTGGAGACTCTGGCTGATCACAGTCCCAGGGTAGGTTCTCTTCTTATGGGAATCAGCTACCTATGGGATTACATTTTCATCTCTAATGACACAGCTTTCTGGAGAATAAATGCTTTATTCTACAGCTATTCTCACCCACAGCATGTGCATAACTACCCTGGAAAAAAAATAAAGACACTGCCCTCCACCCTTTTAATCTATCCTTTCTAATTCTTCCAAGGTCTTGAGTCCAAACGCAATGTAAGGGGACCCCAACAGGCAAAATAAAGTTTCCCTCCATGTAATGTAAAATAGAGACTAGGTCTATGGAGTTTATACTAGCCAAGTTGCCCCATTAGACTGAGGTGTTATGTTTAAGGTGGATCCATCTGAAAGAGAGGCCAGAAAAAGAGGAGAAACTTTTGACTCACTACTCTTAAATTTCAACCAGTTACAGAAGAGGCTCCCCAAACCAATGTGCTGCAATTTAAAATGGGAAAACATGACAGCTATAGTACAGCACAGCAGGCAAAAATGGAAAAGGAGTGATGACGTACTGAAGCACCAATCTCTGATATATTGCAGAACAGAGCTCTTCCTTAAATTTACCAACAGGTTCTTAACATGTTGTATGTTCACTAACATTTTTCTGTTTTAAGGTACATTAAGAGACAGGATTTTCAGTAACTTGCAAGAAAAAAGCCTAGATTTCTTGCTATTTTTCAAATATGTTTTTCTGTTATAACAACACATGCAATTTTTCCTCTTAGCAACAACTAACAGGTTTAGAGTCTTGCTGAAGTTACTGAAAGGAACTAAAAAGATGCCATACTTGCATGGATTTCCAAATCTTTAATCCTAATCTTCATCTAGGAGGGGAAAACCAGTTAGGGGAGGGTTACTTGTTTCAACCCATAAAACACGAAGGCGACAGCAATCTAGTCTACTGAGGTAGGAGACATGTTTCTGTCAGCGGCTGTTCACCAACTGCATTTAGAAATACAAATGCATCACAGAGCATTGCAGGCTGCTCTCCAACACAGATAAACAGTCCTCACTCCAAAAAAAAAAACCCAATAGAAAATGTATAAACAAAATGTCATCTTTGAGGTTTTAAGAAAATGTATAAACAAAATGTCATCTTTGGGGTTTTAGCCCCCTCAAAAAAAAAAAAAAAAAAAAAAAAAAGAAACAAAATACTTTTCCAAGATTACTATCATAATAAGCCATTTCACAGATACTTGTAAAAAAGCATTAATATTGTAATAATTCGCACCGCAAAAGCTACCACACACCCTGATCACTGAGCACATGTGTGAAATTACTGAGCACAAGGCAACAGCCAAACCAGACAGAGGATGCAGTAACTGAAAGAATTACAAAGCTTTCCATCTCAACATTCCAGACGATTTCTACTGTAAGGGCAGAATCAAGTCAAATTTAAATGTACAACATGGCTAAAAATGTCATTTTCATGCCATGGAAATGTCATTATACCTGCCAGCATCATTTATTCAGTGCTGCACCTAAAGTAACTGTAGATACTGGTGTTCATCATGTGAGCTAGAAGAATGAAAAGAAGAAATGTGAAACCAATAATTGAGAACAAACTGATAGCAACAAAGTAGTCCATAAATGCTAGAAGTGTCTTCCCTCAGCATTCATGTCAGGATTTGAGAGGGAAACTCACAATCCAACATGGTCTACAGATAGGGAACACTGCAAATACTCCTTCATGTCAGCTGCGGTGGTCTCCTCGAAAATAAAGGTAAGACTAGGAGAGGCCACTAAGATTGGAACCAAACCATGTTCTTCTTCTTCTTCCTAAGCAAGTCAGTTTTTCTTTTGATTAATTGCAAAGAGATTATCAGTAGCAACATTCCCAACAAAACAACCATTTCAAAAGCAGATGACTCTCTGGACAACAGCAACTCACTGCAACAGGTAAAAAAACCATCAAATGCAGTTAAAGAAAAAGAGACAGAGAGAGAGACTTGTTCTGTAGTTACCTTGGATGAAACTACATTTTCAGTGTACCACATGCATTAAACATACTCTGCCTTGTAAGTTATAAATACAAAGCTGAGAGGAGTTACGCTAGTGCTTTAACTTTATCAGGAACAGCTATACTATTCCCCTGTTCAAGGAGACAGAAAGTCAGCCTTAAGAGTGGCAATAGACAACATTACCTGACCCATTTCATCCCCACCCAGACCATAAGAGGACTCTTGGGGTACAACAGCAAAGGCTTCTGAGGAAAGCACTGGGAAACACAGTAAGACACATGCTATTTTCTTGTGAAAATTAAGTGCAAAATACAAAGGTGGAAAAGGAACATGGAAAAAGCTAGGAGAAAAGGAAGATAGATAATAAAAGGACTAATATGAAAGCTAAAGGTGCTTAGTTGATTCAAAACTGGACAACAGCCTTCTTTTATTTGAGTAATGAAAGTCTCACACATTTTGGCCTTATGTCAAGAGCACGGCACAGCTGAGCCTGCAAGTCAAGAAGCCAGGCTTTGGGAAACAACAGAGCAGAGCTGGAAGAGACAAAGATCTAAAACACCTGCAGAAATGCATGGTCCCATCTGCACCCTTTCCAGCAAGTTTCAGCTGGTTAGGGGAATGTAAAATCCCGAATGTAGTTTTGGGAACAGCAACTTCTAAAGAGAGATCTTTTCCTCATGTTTGTAAGACTGTAAAGAGAAGGGAAAGATAGAAGAATGGGCATGGCTTCCATATTTATACGGAACAAGAGAAGGTCCTGCACAATAAGGATGGCTAAGGAGAGAACACAGCACAGATTCTGAATTTGGTCTGGCTTTTTTTGCAGCAGCAGCAGTAGCCATGGCTACAGACCACAGTCCAAGGATGCTGCATACAGAAATGTGATATGAAGTCCACCAGTCACACCAGACTTCAGCTCGCTGGGCAAGCACCTGAACATTACTGTTACTTTGATAACATCCTGCCCCTGTATCTCTACACAGCATGTACACTTTGAAACATTCAATGTAATACTAGACTGAGAAGGGAGTTTAAACTAGGCAACTCTTTTTTTTTTCTTTGTGCAGAAAAGGAACGCGACAGTTTCCTGTCTATCAAGGGTCTACCAAGAGATGAGAGGATAACTGTGGAACTCTGAGAACAGCATACAAAATGGATGAAACCAGCCACATTTAAATATATTACAGCCCATCCCCACTGTCCAAATAAAACTATCAGTAACACGTATGACCCTGCCCCAGGTCACACCAGTTCGGTGACTAGTGACTCATCTGACAAGATCCGATTAAGCTACTCCCATCCTACAAGGCTTCTTGCTGCAGACCAACAATTGACTGAGAACTTGACTTTTAGCAGCCATTTTTTTCCCCAAGGAAATTACAGTGCTAATCAGTCACCAGCCAGCTCTCAAAATGCCACTTACTCAGACCGTAAGTATTTGAAGGTACAGCATACACCTTTGGGACAGGCTCCTGTTTCAACTCCCTCACCAAAGAACCCTCTTTTTCTCACCTGCTGACTGTAGCACTGGCTGCAGAAAGAGCCTGAGATCAGTCTCCAAACTCCACCTCCTACACCAACTATATCCTGGGCTGTATCAAAAGAAGCATGACCAGCAGGTCGAGAGAGGTGATTCTCCCCCTCTACTCTCCACCTAGAGTACTGAGTCCAGCTCTGGAGTCCTCAGCACAGGAAAGACTCAGACATGGACCTGTTGGAGTGAATCCGGAGGAGGGACACAAAGATGGTCAGAGGGCTGGAGCACCTCCCCTATGAGGACAGGCTGAGAGAGTTGGGGTTGTTCAGCCTGGAGAAGAGAAGGCTCCAGGGAGACCTTAGAGCAGCCTTCTAGTACCTGAAGGGGGCTACAGGAGAGATGGGGAGGGACACTTCATCAGGGACTGCAGGGACAGGACAAGGGTAATGGCTTTAAGCTGAGAGAGGGTAGATTTAGATTGGATATGAGGAAGAAGTTTTTTCCTGTGAGGGTGGTGAGACACTGGAACAGGTTGCCCAGGGAAGCTGTGGATGCCCCATCCCTGGAGGTGTTCAAGGCCAGGTTGAATGAGGCTTTGAGCAACCTGGGCTAGTGGAGGGTGTCCCTGCCCATGGCAGGGGGGGTGGAACTACATGATCTTTGAAGGTCCCTTTGAACCCAAAGTATTGTGTGATTCTGTGAAACTACGTGAATAAACTTGAGTGGTTTCAAGAGCTGCCATAGCACACATCCCTTTCCAGAGTTAACTACCACTTCAGTTCTTCCTTAAGTCTGACTTCACCCACACACTCTTCACAGTAACTATACCTGCCAGCATCATATCCTGCCTCAGTGTCTGAAGAATCAGCGCCATGTGGATTTTTGGTGTTCCATTTACATTTCCAATGCAACAAAAGCAGCATTAGCCTTAGAGGGAAGGATTACGCTTCCTGAATTTGCTAAGGTTCTGTTAACATATACTCATGTAATTTGTGGTCTATATGCATTTTACCTCCCTTTTTAAAAAAAGTTCAACACTATGCTCATTTTGCTTTCAACTACTGCTTAATGCTGGCATGTAATTAGACAAAGTTGGAAGACCCTTACAATTCACATCCAGTGTATGGTAACCTACAAATAGTACAGAATTACTGTAGTTTAATTAATTAGTTTCCTTTCCTCAAGCAGTTTATTTCTCCCAAAAGTTCAGCTTAAGCTTAAAGTTTTTTATTTTTTGACAAATATCAGCTTTAACCACTCTCCTACCTCTTTCTTTGTTTACCCTTCAGTTATGGAAACCTGTTCTACAGTGTGAATATAAAGAAGAGCAGTCATTAATTTTTGTAAGATTAATCCAATAGCATTTAAAGAGAAAGACCTTAAACCCACACCACACAACAGGGGACTGTGACTTTTGCAAATTCTTAGCTATTGAATCCCAGAAATCCTTACATGAGCCAGAAATTACAAGAAGTATTAATTTCCCAAATGAGGGCACTTATTCATTTAAAAGCAAACTATCTTCACACATCTGAAGTCTTATGTTTATACCTCAGAATATAAGGGATGCTGTAAAAAAAACCTGCAAGGATAACTAGATTTAGTTTTGATGAAACTGGTACTATATCTCACCAGTATTGTGAAGACCATTCTTCTAGAAGTCATCTTTGAAAGCATTCCCCCTCCTCCCTTTTGGACACAAAGCAACTTAAAGTAACTTGCATCTAAGTTAAACACTATTCTTTCCTCTCAAGTTTAGGTGTACAATGCGCAAAAGAAAGGCACTTGAGGCTTTCCTTAGCAGTCCACTTCTGGAGTTTGACAAGCAGGAGAGTATTCTAGTAAGAAAATCTGAAAGTAAGGATTATGTTCCTAATACTTGCCATTTTCTACAGATCTGGGAGAACTGGACACAAATTATGGGAGGAAAATACTCCTTCCTTAGAAGACTGATTTTAAATAGGCACAAAAAAGAAAAAAGTGGAGTTGATCATTTTGTCATCCTAGTCTTAAACAGCAAAGACACTGAAAGCCAGAGGAAGAGTATTTTCAGTTACTTGAATTGAACAGTCAATACCATTAATTGGCTTGTAAAAAGCTACAGATCTTCCACAAGTGAAAACAAAAGGATAAAGAACATTGGTATTTTATCAGCCACTAACTGGAAAAAAGACTAAACAGACAGAGAGTAGTACAAGTCACATCCAAATTTTAAAAACAGAGGAAAGTTCTACAGTTTCTGGCCAAGGAATTCCCCATATATGTAACAGAGGTAGTCTAAGCTGATAATTAAGACTAGTTTTCTACATAAGCTTGGTTTTCAAGTTGCTGACATCAGTTCTACTCTCTCTCTCCTGCACACACAGCAATGAGCATGGTCCAAAAAAC